ACTCACGGCGACCCTGCGCGTGCAGAAGAGAGCTGCTCCATAGGGTTTTCAAGGCTGTGACCTTTCAGAAGCAGATCATCAGGCCTGTCTTCCAAGGCGCTTCTGGGTGGGTTCGAACTGCCAACCTTTTGGCTAGTAGTCAAGTGCTTAACCATTTGTGCCACCAGGGACTTCTATTAAAAATTAATTTACATTATATTAAAATGATGAGAAAATAAACTGAACACGGTTTGATTTAATGACTTTTATTTTGGGGAATATATGTCTATTAGCTAGATACATTTTTGCAGTAATTTTTGTAAGGTAAATGATCGGGATTTTAGTGGAGATGAGTTCTGTTTTCCCTGTGGTAAAATGTTTATGTACATTTAGATAATTGGTTCAAAAATACTTTGTGGATAAGAACTCTATACTGTTTGAATCAACTCAATAGTGTGATCAAAAGTATAAGGGAGATAGTTCACATTGACTGGATTCAAGGGTTTATTTGAGAAAGTAGTGGCAGGGCTGGAACAGATGTAAAGCTTAGTTACCAGTGTACCAGTTGCCATGGAGTCAATTCCAGCTCATGACGACCCCATGTGTGTCGGAGTAGAACAGTACACCACAGGGCTTCTTTCAGTGGCTGATTTTTCAGAAGTACACCACCAGGCCTTTCTTCTGAGGTGCCTCTCTGGGTTGGCTCAAAATTCCAACCTTTCTGTTAGTAGCCTGAACTCTGGGAGGACATTGACTGCCAGACCAAAGAGTTTAGGAGTTGTTGAATGCTTTGAAGCTCGGTGCTTCAGGAAGACTAATCTGGAGGCTTTTGCAGGGTAGATTGGCGAGAGAGCAGCCTTAGAATCAGAGAATTGTAGCTGTGCAGGCTACATAAGAAAGAACCTGAGGAGGAGGAGGAACAGTGGGGGAGTGGGTACAGAAGGAGAAGTGGAAGGAAAGAAGGGCATGTTTATGCCTTAGAAGTTTGTAAAGGTGAGCTTAGGTCGTCAGAGCTTTTTTCTTCTTAGTACACGTGAGATCTCATCTTTGACATGCATCTTCTGTCCCTGTTGAAAAGCTAGTTTTCTCAGATCCCCCAGGAATGCTAACAATGAACTTTTCTCCATAGGGTTATGATAATTCAGAGAGCAGCGTTCGGAAAGCATGTGTCTTCTGCCTGGTGGCTGTTCATGCGGTGATTGGTGATGAACTAAAACCCCATCTCAGTCAACTCACTGGCAGTAAAGTAAGTAATGGTGAATGGTGCTTTGTTTTAAAGATGGCAGCCACGATACGTTCTTCAAAATTTAGTTCTGTGTATGTATTGAAGGTTAAATTTATTAGTCGGCTTTTAATCAGTAACGCTTACTCCCCGTGTGCTCTTTGGCAGTTTCTACTCAAACATTTGTCACTTAGGTGACATTACAGTTTGGTGGGGTGGGTGGTAGATGCTCCATGAGAAAATGCCTACAGCTTCTGTTCATTTCTCACGGCCAGCTGATACCTTTCCCAGTCCAACACACAGATCCTTACTCCCAGGGGCTATTTAAGAATAAACAGGCTGTTGTGATTATACGTTTACGGATTGTTTTATACCCTCCCCAATGGAACACTTGAACATTTTTAAATTTTCCCCTGAAGAGCTATGATAACCAAATGTTCTTCTCCTTTTTCTATTCTTATTATTGTGACCCAGATTAATGTTCAACTTTGACTTGGTATGTTAAAATAAATTTTCTGAATAGTCCTTAAGACTTAAGGAAATAAAATAGAGCTTGCCTTTCTCATTTTTTGTTGCTCCCTAAACCTTGAAATTTGTTTTAGGGGCTGAGGATAAACTATCACTGTTGAATTATGGCTTCAGAATCAGTTAGCAGGAGGTTTTCCCCTTCGTTGAAAGAGTTTTCCAGAATCCTAACAATGTCGTTACTGTCGTCAAATTTATTTTTAAAATAGCAAAAAAGCAGAAGAAAAATATCTGCCTTTTTTGAAGGAAAATTAGCTTAGGTACACACCTTTCAGTAAATACCTAAGTAGGTTATAGATAGAGTAAAGCAATGACTCATAACCCTTTCTCGGTTACAAACAACTTTAAGATTTAGGTTTAGTCTTTGCCCAAGAGAAACAAATGCACGCAGAAGATTTTACAGATGGTTTCAGAGAATTTAGCAAGTCCCTGAACCCTATGGACCCCAGATGGAAACACTTGAATCAAAGAGTTAAAGTTAAAAAAACAAACCTTCAACAAACAAATGATTTTCAAAGAAAAATAGTATCCTAGCTTTTATGATAAACTCAAATTAGGTTCTTGTAATCTGGAGATGCCTGTAGAGTTAAAATTCAGCACCTTATCTCAAGACAGTAGTGCGGTGCCAAAAATATTTGGAAATAATCTTAGGTGAAAAAAGTGGAACACAGAATTATATCTGCACCGACTACAGGTTTCTAAAAATATGATCTCAAGCAAAAGAACACAGAAATCAAACACATTGTTATGTTAGGATGGTAGCGGCATAGTGGCCTGAGGGCATGGGTCCTGGAAGCAGGTCCCAGAGTCCTGTCTGGCCCACGTCTTACCTACCCGGCGACCTGAGGCAGTGACGTAGCCACGCTCCATCTCAGTTTGCGCGTCTATAAAACGCTGTGAAGACAGAACGAGAGATGTAAAGCAGTTCCCACGGGGTGTAGCAAGTAATGCTCAGCTGTTTGTCATTATTGTTTGAATGGTGACTCCTTTTTCTAAGTTTCTGTTAATGTTTTATATGTTCTTACTAGAACGTTTTTTGAAAAGGCATGTCAGTCACGTACAAACTGTGAGACTTAAAAATCCTTTTTTGTAGCTATTATCAACAGTTAACAATAACCCCCAGTCTAAAATCTTTCAAATTTCACATGTATGTATATCATTTCTTTTAATGATCATCTTCTCATAATTGTAAGCAGCTTGCAGCTTGTAGAGCTCCCCCTCAAATGACATATGTCTGGCCTCAATTTGCAGATGAAGCTGCTGAATCTTTACATCAAACGCGCACAGACAGGCTCGGGAGGCGCTGATCCCACCGCTGATGTTTCTGGACAAAGTTAGTGAAGCCGTTGACGTGAACCAGGTCTCTCAAAGAAAGGACAGAAAGACCACCTTCATCCACGGAAGGAAGTTTTCAAATACGTCTTTTATAACTTATCATTGTTTCCCAGTTTTAATTTTTGTTTTGTTTTGTTTTGTATTTTCTGTAGCAGAGGGCTCTCCTCAGTCTGCATGTAACTTTTATGATAGTTATCCCAAATTCAAGAAGAAGCAGTATTAACATCAGTTGATCAATACAAAGGAATTTTTAATCTAATTCGTCATTTTACATGTCTGTACTTTTTGTCTTCCCATTAACCTTTGCCAGTGTTACGATTGTACAAAAAATTTTTTTTAAGTGCTGGTTAAACAGGAATGCTTAAAGCTTTAAAAGTTTAACAGTCTAAAACATTTTTTTTTTTTGCCTTTATTCAACTGCAAAATAATATTTTATTGCTACTCTTGAGTTTTGTTCCGTATCATGTCCTATGCTAGAAGTACTGAAATGATGTGAAAACAGCCCAGGACTAATTTGAACTACAGCTGGACTCTGTTGTGTGATGGTGACCCATGTCATTAGTTGCAGCTTCTTTGGGGTGATCTGTAGTTTGACAATGGAAGACCTCAAAAAGAAATGTAAAACTGATATTGTTTGTTAGTTATTGATCTAGCCATTTTTATTTAAAACCTTCTCCCCTCCATGATCCCTTAAGAAAGCCGCACCAAATCATCTGTTTGTTTGGGTTTTTTTTCCCCTTGATGCTTATAAAGATAGAAGGTTTTATTGCAGGGTTTTTTGGTTTGTTTATCTTTGTTGTGAATGATGCTTTTTTTTTTTTGTATTTATTAATATCAAATTCACTTATGAATAAACTTGATAATGGAAACAGACAGAAGAAAAAATCAAGTGCATGTACGTCTGTGAGCGTCTTCTGTCTCTCATTTAACAAACGAACTGATAATTAGACACGAGAGTCAGCCGGCACCTTTTCTGTACATGGTGGAGCCTGCTCCTTTTCCCATGAAATTGTCTTACTTGAAAACATTGATCCTGAGGAGAGAGAAGATGGTGCCAAGTGATCTTTCTACAATGGGCTCAAATTCTCTACCTCTTCAGGGCTAACACTTTTCACTGAGCTGCCGCCTATAGTGTCTTTTGGAAAACTACTTAAAGGGTGATTTTTCTGTTATTTTTTAACAAATTTTTTTAATCACCTTTTGCTATACCTGTTCTCTTCATGTGCAGCCAACTTTCAAAAATTGCAATTTTGGTGAAAGGCAAATTAGATGGATTTGGAACCAGGCTACTAATCGTTTCTCATCTTGACTTCTTTTTTTCTTTTTTTTTTTTATCCTAACATGAAGTGAATTTGACTGGAAAGGCAAATAGCTATTAGGGAGGCAATTTGCTGTTGTTGCAGAGTTATCTGTACTTTCTTTGTTGAACTGAAAAAAGTGTAGAAAATGTATGTAAAGAATTTAAGACGAGTACTGAATGGGTGATCTGTCGTTGGCGTTTACCTTCCTTTGTTTCTGTTCTAGCAGCAGGAAGTGTTTCTCAACACCCCGTCCCTGACCTGTAACGAGTTTGTTTTCTCCTGTTAATTACATTGTGTATTTATAGTTCTATGCTTACTGTTGTGCATATACTGGCAATAAAACTGTACATAACATTACTGGAAAAATGGATACTGTATATCAGCTGTGTTTCTGTCTCGAAGTGTGACCAAAAAAGTCACTTTAATAACTGGGGGATTTTGTTGTTGTTTTTCACTTTAGAAGGTCTTGTATCGATGGTGTTCTCGTAAGAATTTTATAAGTACATCCGAGGAGAACAGGTGTATCAGGAGTAACAACAACACTGAAATGTATATAGCTGTGTCAGCCTGTATATATTAGAGCTTATCTTAAAGAAGAAAGACGTTTTAACCGTGGGGCTCTTCTCAGTAGTGTTTTACGTACCGTGAGCTTTGGCATATTTTTAAATCTGTTTAAATCAAAATACTGATTTAAAATTTAACTTTGGCCTCTCCCTTAAGGTCCTGCTTTAACTACTGTTGATAACTGAGTAGACTGACATGAACTGAACACTGACTCTTTAATCATTGAAAAATGAGATCAAGCACTTGCATCTAAAGGGAGGCACCAGAGAAAGAAATGTACTAAGTAACAGAAAGTATGGTTTAATGTGACTATTCGAGAGCTAATATAGAAGAACAGGAGAAAAAATTCTATAATTTCAGTTGTTGAGACGGTAAGAAAGTTGTTACTGATTATTCAGACCACTATATGCAGTATACCTTGAATTTGTTCATTCCAGAAACATACTTAGATGTGAGCTGTTAAAGAATGGTCATAGAAAGCTACTGTGTAAGTTCTTTCCTCCTGCTTTTCTCCCCTAAACTAATAATTATCAGTGTCATTCATTTACTGCACTGCTCAAGATTAATTAAAGGCATATGAGTTCCGGATTCTAAGACATGTTTGTTTCTTCTGGGTTTGCAAAGTCTATAATAGACCTCTGACATTTTAAAGTAGGATTTGGTTTGAACTTGAGGCTTCCAGTTTGAAGTTGATTTGCTGTGTTTCTTCATATTTCATTCTTACAAACTTAAGGTTAAAATTGCTTTTCCCCCATCAAGTTATGTCTTATGGTAAAAGACTGGCATCTTACCATCAGAACAGATCGATTTATAAATTCAAGTGTATCTAAGATTGTTAATTTAGAATAATATTTACAGTACATAGAAATGAGAATTAGCACATTACTCCCTAATATATGAGTTTTTACTTAATCTTTAATATCTTTGCATTGTTTTTAGTTCATTTTATGGCAATTAATTAGCACTGTTTTGCAGCTATGGAAAAGAAAAGTCTAGAACTCAGCTGTAAAAAGAAGGAAAAACTTCCAGTTAAAAATTTATCCATCGTTATTGTAGAATATTTGGAAGATAATGAAAAGCCAAAGTAGAAAAACAAAATTACCTCTAATATCACCACTTGGAGATAATTGGTGTTGATATTTTGTGGGGTACTAAGGTAATGAGTTTGACTTAATACTGAAAACTGTAAAAACATTAAATTTTGTTACCTAGGAGAGTGACAGGATTAGAATCAGCAACCATTCTGAATGTTTCTGTTCTTCTCTGCGGGTATTTAACAGCACATTTTTGATACAGTCATCCCTTGTCCGTCTACAAGGTGACTGCTAATGGCAGCAAAGTGTGCAGCATAATCCTGGGTTGTTCCTCTTCACTGAATATTCTTATAACAAACAGCTACGTCTTTGCCACATCTCCAGTTATTTCATACTAGACAATCTGAAATTGCTAAATATAGAAAGCCACACTTATTTGAAGATATACTAAATAGCTGGGTTAAAATTGTAATCTAAAATAGAACAAGAAAATAAGACAAGATTTCTTTACATATACCAGGTTTTTAATATTCCAAGTTTACCTGCTTTCATCCATGCAACAGGCATGAGTGTCTGCCTTCAAGGGGCAGAGTGAAGCAAATAACACAGTGTGGTTGGTGATGTGTTGGAAACACTGGGTGTTCTGATGGGAGCTGGGGGTGGGTGGAGGAAATCATGGAAGGCTTCCTGGGAGAGGTGATGCTTAGGTTGAACTTGTGGGAGACACATTGGGGATTACAGAGTAGGGAGGTCAGAGGGAAGCAAAAGTAGCAGAACAGAGAAGCTTAAAATGGCAAGAAACATTGGGGCATTTCACTGAAACCTTTTAAACCATGGTTTCTTTTTGGAAGGGTAAATGTCACACGCTCCCCTCTCCCTTAAAAATGTCTGCAACAAAAAGTGAATCTTCTCTAGACCCTCACGGCCAAGAAAACTTAGATATAGCGTTTTCCGTAGTTTGTATTTCAGAAAGGTTTTCTTAACAGACAATATGCTAGTGAATGTGCTGTTTCAAACGGAACATATCCCTTTGTGTCTCCCCAGCTGGCCACTGTTAGAGAGCTTAGTGTGGCTGAAGCACAGGCTGCCGGTCAGGGAATGAGCCCAGATGGAGTAGTAGATACCTGAGAGACTGTTCTAAGATACATCCTAAGAGGAAGACTTCACTGAAGACTAAGCCGAAGAATAACATGATTAGAATTAACATCATGGACACTTTTAATCGTACATAATCTGTAAACTTCAGAAGTGAGGTATTTTTAGGCTACAGTGGTTTATAACATCGCAGGTCTCTACTAACTTAGTGCTAATTTCCTTTATTATTAAATATTTGTGCACCTGCTGTGCATCGGACACCCCTAAAATCTGTATGCTGCAAATATGTAGTTGTGGATGTGGTAACAAGGAGATGTGTTAACGTGCCCTCAAAAACAGGAGTGGTGCAGGAGGGGCTGGCCTGTCACGGGGTAGACAAGTGCCCAGTGGTGCTGCTCCTAGCAGACCATCCTGCGCGACAAGCCTCGTGCAGCCCGATCTGGCGGTGTTCATTCGATGTTGATAGCAGACTCTGAGGGCAGCAACTCTCCCCTTAAGTGCAGATCAGTTCTTTTATTAAAAGTGAGTGCAAAAAGACATTGCTTGACAGTCAGTTTTGCCGGTTTTATTTTTATCAAAGCTTAGGTCAGAGTAGAAACTAAGAATCGGGGTTGGATTACTTCAACAAAGCAAGAAACATGCTTTTCTTCTCCATCTTCTTAAAGTAGTGGTTCTCAGCCGATATCTGGAGACGTTTTTGGTTGCCACAGCTGGGACAGGTGCTCCTGGCTTCTAGTGGATAGAAGCTAGGGATGCTGCTAAACATCCTGCAATACCCAGGACAGCCCACATGACAAACAGTTATCCAACCCAGAACGTTTACAGTGCTGGGCAAATGGGTTGCCACAGACAGATTCATTATTCTTTTCATTCCAATCCTATAAGGCAGGTATTATTATCATACCCAATTTACAGAAGAAGCAACTGAGGCTTAGAGAGGTTAATTTGCCCAAAGTCATGGAGCCTGGAAGATTTGTAATCAGGTTTTAAATCCAGACTCTTTGAAACCACGTCCAGAAAGCTTAATCCCTCTGCTCTAGTTGCTGTATGTGAACATTTTAAGGTTCTTCCCCACTTTGTCAATATTGGTGCTCTTCAAAGGAACCCTGGTGGCGCAGTGGTTAAGAGCTGTGGCTGCTAACCAAAAGATGGGCAGTTCGAATCCACCAGTTGCTCTTTGGAAACCCTATGGGGCAGTTCTACTCTGTCCTAGAGGGTCACTATGAGTCAGAATCAACTCCATGGCAATGGGTTTAGTTTGCTGTTTACTACCAAAAAAAAAAAAAAAAAACTATAGCATTTCAAAATTGTTCTTTAGATCTTTTGAAGAACTAGTGTATAAAAGTATTGAGTTTCTAAAAATGCACACATCTAACCTAGGGAAGTACTCAAAATAAGTAAAAACAATATTCAAGAGGATGCAGTTTCTGTATCCTCTTCTGTACTGGAAGCATCAATACAATGAGGCCTCGTAATTCAGTGCAGACAACACCTGCCTTACAGGGACCTGAAAGCCCACAGGGGGGCGGGGGAGGTGGGGGGAGGGCAGCAGGAGGGAGCTATGTGGCTGCAGCTTTCACACCTCCCATTCCAGATGCCCCGCCCCCCCATCTCACTGAGACTGCTCAGACTTCTGGTGACATCATCCTTCCCCAACTGTCCTTCCCCTCTGCTTGCCTGTCCTCCAGCCTGGATGGTGACGAGAGTCTCAGGAGGACACCATACAACAGCTCTAAGGAGGGGTAGCCAGTCCACCTTGGAATGCAGGTATACCAAGCTCTGAAAGAGTCTTGATGAGTGAATGTATTGAGTGGGGATTTTCTCAGCTTTGGGGAAGATACCTTGACAGTCAAGCAAATGAAAAGCAAAATATTTATCACA